CAAAACTGTGGGGTACAAAACTTGGGATACACATAGCATAATCCTATAAAAATAGTTCCAAAAGCAAGTGAAGTGTTAGATACAAGCGTAAAATGTAGAGAAATTTACAACAATAGGAGTAAAAGAGGGTGGTTTTCCCTAAATAGGAGTGGTCCTATGTGACTACACGTTTGGGGTAGAAAATTACTTAAATAACCTCCTAATCCTATCTTTGCCCTTCTAATATCATGCGCATGATCTCATGCGGCTTTCCTTCTATTTTTATTTTTAATTTTCTTTACATTTTTAAAGATAATATCAAACATTTAATTCTCCTATTTTTTAGGCTACAATTTCTACATATTCTACCTTATTAAGTGCCACTCCTCCACTCCATTGCCAATCTCTAAACACACCGTACTCAACAAGTTCTTCCTCCCTATCCGTTTTTTTCGACACTATGTAATCAATAATGTCCTTATACTTGGATTAAAAAAATAATGTCCTTATACTTGGATTAAAAAAATAATGTCCTTATACTTGGATTAAAAAAATAATGTCCTTATACCCATAAGTGAAATTTGCACTAAATATAACTAAAATATAAATCATTTTTTGATGTAAGACTTAAGTTTTTTTATTCTCTAAATATGACTTAATAATGACTAGTGAAAAAAATAATGTCCAAGAAATGCTGGACATTTAGTTGAATAATAACTAACATATGTTCCTATATTGAGAAAGTCATTATGTTTTTGTCCTATTTCTGTAAATTACCCAAAACCTATTCATGAAGACCTACACATAAAATCAACTTTTATTCATGAACAAATTTATTCTATTAGTCATTATTCAACTAAATGTTCAGCATCATTGGATTTTTCCATTGTAGGACTTGCACTTTTTTATTCCCTAAATATGACTTAATAATGACTAATGAGAAGAATAATGTCTAAGTGATGCTGGATATTTAGTTGAATAATGACTAATAGATAATGACTAATAATCATACATTGGAAATAAAAACATATGGTCCTAAATTGAGAAAGTCATTATGTTTTAGTTCTATTCTTTTTTTACTTCATTATTATTTTAATAAATTTTGTTATGTCTTTGAGTTTAAATGTTTGCTTAAATGTCTTTGATTCTAAATATTTTTGGCAATAGTGAAATTTGCACTGAATAGTATGTCATTTCTTAATTTAGGACTTAAATTTTTTTATTCTCCAAATAAGAATCAATAATGTCTTAGTGGGAAGAATAATGTCCAGTAATGATGGTCATTTACTTGAATAATGACTAAAAAATAATGAACAAAGATTCTAGGAATTAAAAACACATGATCTTATATTGGGAAAGTCGATCATTATCAGTAGTAAATCAGTGTTTAATGCTTTTTGCATAGAAAAATATAAACACACACAAATTGGGTCAAATTAAAAAATGAAAATATAAACAAAGAACATTAAGAAAAGACGTACTAGAATTAAGTCTAATGCAATTGGAAGACATTATGATCTTGAGTAATTCTTTCTTTACGGTGAAAAAACACTTCTTTTGTCCAGAGATTATCTTCTTGTTACATGTTACATTGTTTACCTAAAGTTGGTTTTAGTTCACTTTTTCAAAAAAATGGTGTAAAATTTTAAAAAAAAAGTATATACATAAAAATTATATCAAAGATTCTACAAAAATGTGGCAAAAATGTTTTAAAAACAAGAAATGATATTATTATATTATTTTAAAGGTAATAAAAATTGGCAAAGCACAAAGCAAAATTTGTGAAGAAGTAGAACAAAGCAATGCCGAGGAAAAATGGTAAAGCAAAATCTCATGAGTGGAGATAAATTAGGGGTTGTGGAGTAATACATTTTTTTCCTAAACTATAGGCATAAATAATGGCTAATTAATCCATAATTATGAAAATAAAATATTTAGAGATAAGAACTAAAAAACTGCAAAGGGGCGTTGGTTTTATCCACACAAGTGGTCGCCTATAATTTAGGGGTAGGAAAGGAATTTTTTAAAAAAATACTCTTAGAAAAGGAAAAAAACATTATTAGTCCTTTATAGGGAAAACTTGTATCTTTTAGTCTTATACACAACAAATTTTACTAAAATGTATGTTCAACATGTGAACTACAAGTTACAGGCTTTAAATGTCTATTTTTTACTTAACAATATACATCATATTATTGCATTTTACCCTCTTTCGTTGTTTAATATTTTCTCGCGTGACTAATTTCAATTCTCTTCTTGAATCCATCCAATAGATTTCTTTTTCTTCAAAACTAGTTTCATCATTTTTCAAATCAATTTTTTTTAGTAATTTTAACAATTTTTTAAGATTTTGGAGAGTAAATATGGCTCTTTCTTGCAATATAATCAGATTTTTTAAGCAAAGATTCAATCATTTAGTACAATTTTTTTTCCAAAAAATTGCTGCTGGGTACCCCTTATTTTGGGATAAAGACTGACAGGTCCCATTGTTTTTCAAAATATACTCCGAGGTACCTTAAGATATTCGAAAACCGACTCCGAGGTGACAATCCGTCATTCCGTCCGTTAATATTTCTTCTCCGTTATCCTCCTCCAAAAAATTGCTGCCAGGTACCCCTTATTTTGGAATAAAGACTGGCAGGTCCCATTTTTTTAAAAAACTTACTCATAGGGATTTAAAATATCCTTTGTTCAAAATATTACTTTATCGAATTAATATACAATATATGTTTTATTTAATGATAGGTCAAAAATTAAAAACAGTTGATTGAAAAAAGTCAAAACGTGACATATGCTCCGAAACAGAGATAATATTATGTACTCATATTTCCTATTATTTTCTTAATTATTATTAGAAATTAATTGCAGAGTAGTAATTTTATTACTCTATTTTTAAAAAATACGGAGTAACAATCATTATTATTTAGAAAAATAGTACTCCGCATTAGTCAATTTGATAGTCGCCATTGGTAATGGTGTCTTGGTAAATTGAGAAAACAAGAGGACTTGAGAAAGAATAAGATAAAACAATAAAAATAGTGTTAAATTTAATATGTCTTGTAAAGATAATATGAAACAATAAAAATAGTGTTAAATTTAATATTATTATGAATTACGACGTATAATTTATAACCAAGTGAATAAATAATTTTAATTTTATAAATGATACGTAAATATATTACTAAAATTAATTTTCAATTAAAGATTTAGAGTAGTAAAACTAATAAAAAAAGTTAATACCCTCATATATTTATACCAATTATCTTCTAGCTCTATATTTTGAATGATTGCAAAAAAAATTCAAAAAATCTTTTTTAAGGAGGGTAAAATTTGAAGTCAAAGCCAAAAATTAAAAATGGGGAAAATCAAACTGGGAAGAAAGAATTAGGACGGGGGGAGTACATAATATTATCTCTGTCTCGGAGCATATGTCACGTTTTGACTTTTTTCAATCAACTGTTTTTAATTTTTGACCTATTATTAAATAAAACATATATTGTATATTAATTCGATAAAGTAATATTTTGAACAAAGGATATTTTAAATCTCTATGAGTAAGTTTTTTAAAAAAATAGGACCTGCCAGTTTTTATCCCAAAATAAGGGGTACCTGGCAGCAATTTTTTGGGAGGAGGAGGAGGATAACGGAGAAGAAATATTAACGGAGGGAATGACGGATTGTCACCCCGGAGTCAGTTTTCGAATATCTTAAGGTACCTCGGAGTATATTTTGAAAAATAATGGGACCTGCCAGTCTTTATCTCAAAATAAGGGGTACCCAGCAGCAATTTTTTGATTTTTTTTCTTACCTTAAGATATGAGTAAAAGTCATGCCTTACATTGTTTTGTTTATGTAAAATGTTTATTTGTGAGTACTTGAAGTCTAATTTAATATTTTTGTGAAAAAGTATAATATTTTATTGTTCGCAGAATCACACAGACATGAGGTGCATGTGAGAAACCTCGCATAGACATTTCAAGTCTGTGAAACTAAACTTGTCGATATTGCATAGACAAATCTTTTAATTAAAAGAACATACAATTTGTGAATATTTAACATTGTATCATTCTCAACATTGCCAAAACATTACGTGTCTGGGATATATTAGTCATAGACATTTCATGTTTGTTAACTCGTAAATGCACATCACAGACATTCATCGTCTAAAAATCACACACCATAGAATCTCTAAGAATGTTTTATTTCTTGTAGGTGAGCTTCAATGTCGCAGCTTACTCCTCCAGCTACTGTATCTACTCAGATTATCATGATGCCATCACCTAAATTCCTAAGAAGTTATCCAATATTTCTAATTACATTTCATTTTTTACATCTCATTCTTGGCTCTTTGTAGTATTATTTGTTGTGCTTGTTGGCTCTTTGTGTATTACTTTGTATATTACATGACCATACCAATTAATGTGGACTCAATTTCTTCTACATCTTTCATGTTTACTTCATAAATTTTCTTTGTTATTGATAGATAGACAATAATTTGATTGAATTGCTTTTTCTTGAATACACATGGATCTCACAAAAGTTTAATGTCTCTGAGTGCCTAAACACATACACTAAGTCTCTATTACCACATACATTAATTCTCTGTCAATTCATAATTACAGATGCATAGTGTCTGTGAATGTTCAATTAACGATGTTTTGGACAAGAATTAACGATGTTAACTACATGTAGAAGTGAATTTTACATATTGTCAACATGTTTGTTGTTTCTATTTTCTTCATTGACAATAGCCCCCTTATATATTTGTAATTGTTTAAACACATATATTAAATTTTTGTGTACCTTGTTTAAAAAATTTCACCTGTCAAATATGTCAAATATTTTAGTAATAAGAGCATTTCACGATATCTCTCATACTCTAAAAAGAAACAAATGGAATAAGAAATGTTTGGTCATAAAAATACTAAATGTGTATTTCTTTAGACACAAAAATATTAAGTGTCATTAAGTAGTGTTAAGAAGACTAATATTGTTGTTATAATATGTGAAATATAACAAACTTTGGAACCAACGTCAGAGACATTTCATGTCGTAAAGGTTTAATGTAGTGTTAAGAAGACTAGTGTTAAGAAGACTAGTGAAGGTTTAATGAGTACACGAGTTAATGCATAATCATTTATACACAAAAAATAGGAACCATAAGCTTCGAACTTATGGAAAGCCTTAACAAAGGTTCAGATTGGTAAGTTCAAAAATCCCATCCCCATCTAGGACTTCCCATGCTTGCGTTGGAACTCGAACACGCTTGGAAGGCTCGCTTGACCTTTGATTTGGAACTTCTTTTTCTCCAGTGCCAACTCCAAAATGCTCGTAAGGATTGTTTGACATTTGACATGGATCTTCGTTATAAGCATTGTATCACCCTTTCTTGTTTACCTTTTGTTTGCGAGTAATTTTCTCGTATGTTGACTTAGGGCGTCCTTCCGCTTCGAACATGTATGGTCCAAAATGATTGGTAAAATATGTTCATCTCTAATAACATCCACATGTTACTAAATCTGTCAAACATCAAAACATTCATCAGAGCACTCAAACTCTTCAGTTTCAATTAACACATACATTCTCTGTCTATGTTATAGTACCAGAAATAGCATATTGTCTATGAAAATATACGCACATATAAACATCACTTTAAGCCATGGTCACAGAGAGCCTCCTCCGTGCAGTTTCTGGGCAGCGAGAGAGAAAGGAGGACCGGCGGAGAGTGGACGTCGAGAAACGTGGATCGGCGGTGAGCAAATATGAGAGAAAAAATCAGAATTCTTACAATTAACACATGTTTATGGAAATAATCATAAACAACCGTAATCACAATTAATAACTTTGTATCCATAAAATTCTTTCATTATTACTAAAAAAAGAATTCTTTCAGGATTTTTTCAATAATTATAGTAATAGAATTAAAAATTGTGAATTTTATACCCCAAATCATGGCGAGTCATTGATGGACTATGACGGTAGTGGGTTGGAAGACCCACAACAATGGTGGCGGCGGGTGGGAAGACACAAAGCAGCAGCGACGGCAGGTGGGAGGACACAGAGCAGCGGCGACGGCGGGTGGGAAGACATATGGCAGCAGCGAGTTATGGTGCTGCAGAGGATTAGCGATGTCCGATGAATCAGATTTGTAAAAAATTGAAAAGAAAAAAGAAAACCGAAGGAGAGAGATGGAGAGATAAGAACCGGAAATTGGATGAGAAAGAAAAAAACAGGGGAGGGGGGTGGGGGTAAGGGAGAGGGAGGGGGGAGTATATGGTGTGCAAATGGGGTACACAAGTGGTGTACCCCTAGCGGGACTGGGAGTGGAGTATATTTCTTTTGTTTCTTCATGCGTCACTCCACTAACTCCTTTCTATCTTTCTTTCTTTCTTTTTTCTTTAATTCATGGAGATCCACCCACTTGCTGCTGGCCTGCTGCTACATTGCTGCCACACTTGGGCGGCCAGTCAGGTTGCGCCACGTGGCAACACCTGGTTGGTCGGATTTTGACCCGGTCCGAAAATATTTTCTAAAAATATAGTCTTGCTCAAAATTTTATTCTGAACAACATTTCCTTCTGCGCTGACTTCAAATTCCGAACCAATTTGGGTCAAACAAATTAATTTTGAATCAATTCAATCTTGTTCTTTCCAAACAATTTCTTTTTGGTGCTTTTTCAATCCGTTTGACCTCAAATCTTTTGACGGGGTGCACTCCCACATTTGAATGCACATTTTTCACTTCAAGGATTTTCACCATCTTTTGTCTCCTTGATTCGTTGTATTCCATTTGCATAATCTTTTACACTTTTTGTACCACTTTTGACTCAATTTTTATTCTTTTTACAACAAGACATAACTTTTGTACACTTTTGCAATTATGAATAAAAGATATAAAAACCATTGAGAAATTAATTTGTTTAATCCAAAATTGGACCACAACACATTAAATATAGAGAAGATAAGTGCGTACAAAATGGACTTATCAGATACCTCCCAGCCTAGGGTATCCATACGGGGATTTCTTAGTGGCACATGTATTTAAGGCCAAATATTTTCCTCAATCTTCTTTTCTTGATGTCCATGTGAGACATTCTTTTATCTTTTGTTAGAGGAGTATCCTTGCAGCACATGAACTTATTCAAAGGGGGGTGCATCACCGAATTGGAGATGGAAATGATACTAATACTTAGGGATCCCCTTGGTTATTGAATGGTGGTAGTGTGGCACACTTAATCTGCCTCTTGATGTAGGAGCTATATATTTCAAGGCTAATTGCGGATCTTGTGGACTTCAACCGCAACACTTGGAATGTAGATCGACTAGAGAAATTTTACGAGCCTCGGGCTGCGAGGCTAATTCAAATTTAGAGGGTTCTTGTTCACGTGAACACGGGAGATGGATGGTGTTAGTTTGGCGAATTGCATGGAGTTAATATGTTAAGAGTGCCTATAGGCGGGAGATGCGGGGAAGCTTCACTGGTAGGGGTGGGCACAGATCGGGACGGTCTGGTTTTAGGTTGTCCCACGTCTTGTCCCGTTATATATAAACGGTTCGGATTACAACCTTATCCCGGTTTGTCCCATAAAATTCGAGCCAGGAATAAAATGGGACAGATTCGGGTCGTCCTATTTTGTCCTAAATCGCAAACATAAGAAGTGGGAGAGAGTGATATTTCATTCAAAAAAAAGAAACATGTATTCATCCAACAAAAAACAATGAGTAGAACGTGTCTAAATAAATTTCAAGCCTATGAAGTTAACTTAATTAAATAACTAATTAATTAAAAAATGAGTGTATTGGATTTTGGACTAGAATTAGTATTATATATTAGTAGAGTAGATGAAACGAGACAAACGGGACGGATCGGTATAAATTTTAGTGGTCCCGCTCATGTCCCATTAGATATTGGGACGGAACGGGTTCAGGATAAAAAAAATGTATAAAAAAATGTATCCCAATATATCGGTACAATTACAAAACGGAACCAGGATTTTTCGGAACGGTCCAACGGGAACGGATTTCATGCACACCCTATTCACTGGTGTCCTTTTTTCAAACTGGAGTAGACTTTGGCGAATTCTAGTGATTCCGGAAGTTCGTGTTTGTCTATGGAGGGCTATTAGAGATATCCTTCATACTAAGGAATCTCCCCTAGCCTAGAGGGTGGAGTTCAGTGGGGATCGCCTCTTTGTGGGAGAGGGGGAGGGGTAGAGACTATTGACAATGTCTTGTTGTGAAACCCTTTTTCTAATTCATTTGGAGGCCTTTGGGTGGAGGGGATGATAGAGCATCTTCAAGACTTCAACCTCTTTCCAAGATTAGTTCTAACTCCGATGTCAGAATGATTCTTTGTTGAAGCTGCACACTATTGCATGGACTTGTTGGGCTCTGGGGAAGGCACGGAGTACGACTATTTGAGAGCATAAGAGCACTGGGTATACTCCTCACGCCCACCGGCGTTGCGGGGCGTTTAACGCCCCGGGGGCATTAAACACCGCCCCCTGCCGGCGTTAACGGGGCGTGAGGAGCCTTGCGTCAAACGAATGACACTGCGTCATTCGTC